AGGAATTGGATTAATTTCTCAAATAATACGGCTCTCTGGCCGCGATTCAAGTCTGATCTTGCTTTCGATAAGGCTTTGGAAAAAATGGAGGAGGTTATGAGCACTGCCCCATTTTATCCATTTAAAAAAATAGTGATTTCTAGTGATGAGTTCAAATTAACATTTTAAATAATCATATGTAATGATCAATTGAGTATTACATCATATATACATATATAATTTATATAGATGATTATGAAAAAGCTAGAAAGCGGCAAAAGGAAGCTGTAATGCACTCAGATGTTGGTTCTGAGTACGAAACAACTCAGCGGAGGAGAGATGGGGCGAAAGTATTACACTCATCTTCAGATGAGTGTGATGATGATGTTTGTACTTTACCAACACCACCATCTGTTCCTCGTTTTGTTTCGCAAGCAAGCTGCAGCGGAACAGATATTAATAATGGTAATTTTGTTTTTTGTATACTGCATGGTATTTGAAAAATATTTCTTATAATGCTGACATTTCTACCCTGCTAGCTTATTTACCGCCGGCGTCCCCATCTGTTTCGAAAGCAGGCCGAAGCAAAACGGGTCAAGATTTTAACAATGGTAATTGTTAAATGGCATGGTATTTGAAATGTTAAGTTACAAGTGCAATTATTCTTTTACAATTCTGACATTTTTACTCTGATAGCTTATATACCACCTGTGCGATCTTTTACAAAAGCAGGCAGCAGCAGACAAATTGGAAGAAACGAAGATAACAATTATACGTAAAGCTTTTTGTATACTGCATGGTATTTGAAATATTATGTTACTAGTACAAATATATATTTTATAATGCTGGCATTTCTACCCTGCTAAATTCAATTGGCGAAGAAATTTTTGTCAGGGAGATAACTAAGATGCAATTGACCATGGAGGGCGTTGTGGAGCACATAAAGGAAATGATGTTGAGAATGGATTTGTACCAGTCTCCTAAGACTGTCATGAGTAGTGACATGGGCCAGATCAAAGAAGTTTTAAAAATGTTTCCACTATGTTCAATGAACGAACTTCAAAATGTGAAGGATAGTCTAAGAAACAAGGATGTGAAAACACAACTGGTAATCACAAGTTCACGTAAATTTATTTTTATTAGTTAGTTTTATTATAAACTAACTTTATTTTTAGATTTTGTATTTGGCTAGGACAGGTGGCAAAAATCTGTCACAGTACAGTTGTTAAAATTAATATTTGATGATGGCTTGGCTAGAGAGTTTAGCTGGGCACATGGTAAAGAAAAACACAAATATTATACACAAATCACAAACACGAGCTTGTGAAATTATGAATAAAACTTACATATAAATAATTTCAGAAACTGTTCTAAAGAACTTACTAAATGAGACTAAGAACGGTATACAAGGTATTTTTGTGTGATGTTTAATTTTATATATTTATATATGTGACCCCGCGAAAAAGTCGAAGCTCTTTTGAACCTTTGGTTCAGCTTCAGGAATCACGGAGTTCGGTTAGTGCACTTACTACTAATAGCAGAATATCTAACAATTGATAATAAATTAAATGAGCTTAATGTTGAAGTGCATATTTTTTACTTCATTTTATAATACAAAATTAATGCTATTTTTTAGAGCAATGCCACAGAATGTATATCGTCTGAAATGGAATATCCCATGCATGTCGATTATGATGTTACCACGTTTACCGAAGTGGATGATACAAGAAGTATTAATTCAAACTTCAACTAATTACAAGTATTAACTCAAATTTCAACTAAGCAACAAGTGTTAACGCCTTACTCAACCCTGGTCTAGTTATATATTTTATTACCTTCATACAGGATGGCAATAATAAATCCTTATTGTATAATTTAGAACTAGTAAATAATCCCTCTCATTGTCAAGTGGACAAAATTGTTTGTCACATTTTTGCTTATGTCAAATGTAATGTTATATATATTTGTAATTCAAATGTCCCGCCATCACTATGAGTGACATTGGCAACACTTCCCCTACTCAAACTATGTATCCGCCATTTTATGTTTATGTCAAGACTCTGTAAAATATCTCCCTTCTTTGCTGAACCGTGAACATATAAACATATAAAATAAACTTAATAATTTAAAGGGAAGCATTTTTATTATATGTTGTGCCATCTGACATTTATGTTCACCGTCCCGAACATACTCTTCTTTTATCTATGGTCCTGAAGCTCGAAAGGACAGATGTCATTGCTCTGGAAACCCTGTACACGAGGCTTTGAGAAGGACACTCACGACTGCTATGGCAACCCAGGACGCCAGGTTATTGGAAAGAGGAAGCCGACTAACTCTCTGATTTGGACCGCCATAAGATACACATCGTTGACAAGAATTATTAATTTCAACTCTATATTTTTATTTTGTGAATAAACCATGTTATAAAGATTACTAAGTATTTCAACTATTCTGAACTAAATGTATATTTATTAATTTCTACGCTAATGGTACAACAATGGTGGCAGTCGATAGGATCTAACCTTTTTTTTTTTTTTTTTTTATTATTTATTGGCTTTATAAACTGGTACATTAGCCATATACTAAATTACATAATATCTACGCTATCTCTTACATATATATCATTGTTTTATGTATATTGCATTTATAATTTTATATTATTACATTTGATGTAAATATAAAGAGCTCCATATAATCTTGTATCTGTCATCACTGTTATAAAATTAATTGGAAGGGAGATTTTTTGTTTAATTATTTCCTCCCATAGTTTTTGTCTGCCCTTTTCCCAACGTTTACACTCCATGATGATGTGTCTGCATCCGCCCTAGTCGCTTCGCCCAAGCAGTAGCAACTAGGATCGATATCGATCCCAATTCTGCTTAGGCAGAACGGAGCGTAAGAATGATTTAGTCTTAATCTACACAATGTTGTGTAAAACGGCCGACACTCCTTAAATCCGTCATACCATGGTTTGACTGGAATTTTTCCTTGTATCATACCATAAAATTTACCTTTAATTCTAATAGATAACTGAAAATCCAATTGCCAAATGTTCCGTATGTTTGCTCTGTTAAATCTTTTTATGTCTCTATAAGATATTCCATCCGCAGCAACAGTCCCTGTATTTATTGCATCTTTGGCGCCGTTATCCGCCGCTTCGTTGCCAGCTATCCCAATATGACTTCTTACCCATACAATGCGTAACTCCCAATTTTTTGATAATATCGCATGTATGTCATTTAGAGTATCTATCGTTAATAATGACGGGTCCTTTCCCAACGACAACATGCCCTCAAGAGCAGACCTGCTATCGCTGATTATTACCGATTTCTTCACATTATGTTCATCAATATACTTTACGCACCTATTAATAGCATACATTTCCGCTGTATATATCGACGCATCTTATCTAGTTTATATTTTGTGAAGGAATTTGTTCCCTGATGGTAAAAACACGCACCAACACCATCTGAATTCTTCGAACCATCTGTATAAAATCTATCATAGTCTTCAAATGTTTCATGTATACTTCCTTCGACCTCCATCCTACATTTATTGGTATCTCCGCTATAGTGCGCATTGGCGAAATCGATTTGAATTATATTTTTCAAATTAGAAAAGTAACATCGTATTTGAAATGAAATCTTGAGGTTGCAGTCCAAGTTTGTAAGAGATTACATTTTTCTACCACTTCACGATACGCAGTTATTAGTATAGGCCTCTTCCTATTTCTCCAGTATGGGCTGTTCAGTTCATTATTGATCTGATTCACATTCTTTAATACTACGTTGTTAAATTTCATTCTATCTATGATAAAGTTTGAAGCCAATAACCTCCTTCTCAAGTGTAAAGGATATACGATCGTATGTTAGCTTCAACAAGTAACGCATTGATAGGCGTGGAACGCATGACCCCCAAACAAGACCTCAAAGCTTTGTTTTGGATTATGTCTAGTTCTGCTAAGTACACTTTTGGATGCGTCGCCATATATGAAACTACCATAATCCAACTTAGATAGTATTAATTGCTTATATATTCTAAGAGAAATCTTGATATCAGCATCATAATTTATGTGATTAAGAAACCTGAGAATATTCAGTGCTTCTTCACATTTAGAGACTAGATAATCAATGTGTGGTTTCCACTTTAATTTGTCATCAATAAGTAGCCCGAGGCATCTAATTGTAGGTTCAACCTTCAGAACATAATTGCTTATGCTGATATAGTCTGGAATTATAGACTTCCTATGTCTTGTAAAGAGGCTTATTGTACTTTTATTTTCTGACAAAACAAACCCTAACGATGTGCACCAGTTATGGAAGAGTTGCATTGTTATATTCATTTTATCAATAGCCTCATTCAAAGTATGAGCCTTATGTAGAAGTATAATATCGTCTGCATACTGCATAATTTTGACTTCCAGATCTAGCTCGGTTTGTAACTTGCAGGTATATAGATTGAATAATAGCGGACTAAGAACGGATCCTTGAGGTAGTCCTTCTTTCATTTTACGTGGTCCAAATTGTAAATGTTACACCTAAGATTGATTCTGCGGTCTGATATTAGATGGTGTATATGAAGAATAAATCTTCTTGGCATCTTGATATCAGACAGAATCTTCATTAATATAGGTATTTGAACGCAGTTATATGCATTAACTAAGTCCACGTTTGCAGTCATCAGGAGATTATTTTTTGCTAAATTAATTTTAATTTCATACACTAAGGATGTGATAACGTCAATTGTACCCCGATTATTACGAAATCCTAGCATGTAACTCGGGAATATCTTGTTGCTTTCCGCCCACCATTCCAATCTTCTTTTGATCAGTCGTTCGAATGTTTTTGCTATACATGAAGACAATGATATAGGACGATATGATTCTGCTCTTGAAGGATCTTTACCTGGTTTAAGAATTGGAATTGTAATTATATTTTTCCACTCGTGAATAGCTGTTTCGGTGGTCCAAACTTGGTTAAGAACCCGTAGTAACATATTCTTGCCAAAACTGGATAATTTATTCAACATTGGATAATGAATATTGTCCGCACCCGGTGTAGTGTGTTCGAATTTGTTTTTAGTGCCAAAAGAAGCTCCTGCATTGCGAAAGGACCTTCCAGTACATCCATTTCTTGTACGCTTGGTATAATTACCTCATTCGTTGCTGAGGCCGGGGTAATATTGTTAAGGAACTTATTTGATTCATCTATCGGAAAAGGATTTTTATGCACGACTCTATTTTTCAAAGCTTTCACCTTGTCCCAAATGTATTTAGATGAAGTTGATCTTGTAAAAGAATTACAAAATTCAATCCATTTGTCCCGTTTTTTCTGTTTGAACGTTATACGACATTTCGCTAAAATTCTTTTATATTCGATGTAATTAGCCAAAACTGGAGATCTCTTGTATTTTCTAATAGCTTCTAACTTCTTCTTATTAAATTTCTCACACTCTTCATCCCACCAAGGCGTTGACAAATATCTATCTTTTTTGCCTAAGTAAGGTCTTGACATGGGAATTGCTAACAAAGCCGCCTGATTTATGCATTGAACAAACTTACCGTACATAGCCGATGGATCTTTATCAAATATCAATTCTGACAATAACTTATCTGTCACTTGCTCATATTTCTTCCAGTCAGCTTCTTTGATCTTCCAAATATGTCTGTTTCTAATATTACTGTTATTCATATTTACTTCACTCACTCCAATCCGAATTGATATACCAAGGTGGTCCGATCCCAAAGTTTCATCTGTGACGTGCCATTCCGCACTGAGCATCACAGATGGATTGCATATAGATAAATCTACCGCAGAAGGATTTCTGTCATGTCTCCTCAATAACGTAGGCGATCCGTCATTCAGAACACATAAACCCTCTGAGTTAATGGCTTCGCTTAAAATTATTCCATCATGATTATTATGAATGCTACCAAAACTCGTATGATGCACATTAAAGTCACCCGCAATTAGAAAAGGCGGCGAAATGTTTCCGAATAATGAAGTCCAATAAGTAAGATTTGTTCTGTGTCCTGGAGCACAGTAAATTGCAAAAATATTAAACACAGTACCATTATTGATTATGATTTTGGCCCCACAAACTTGAATTTTTGTGTGCTATATATCTCGGTGTTTACAGTTTCGGAACATAGTCTACGGCAAATATATAAAGCTACACCTCCGAATCCATCGTCTCTATTGGTATGTATTAATGAGTATCCGGATATATCATACTTAAATTCCTCTTTCATCCATGTTTCAGATAAAATTACAATATCAATTTGATTGGCTTTCATATAGGCTTCCAATTGCAGCTTCTTTGAATATAGTGATCTAATGTTAATTTGAAAAATTTTGATCATAAGGATATGTATGAATATAAATATTATATTTTTTTTTTTTTTTAAACACTATGCTATGTAACATGCCAATCAAAGGATACTACAAGTAGAATACTCAAATTGTATAAGGTAATGACATTCCTATTTACATTTTACCAGCTTTATAAATCACTATCATCTTTTTCAAGTCTAAGTTGTGACCTCTCCAACCTTTTTAGTATCTCAACTAATATTTATAGTGTTCATTATTGTTCGGCATATAAACTCGTTTAATGTTGTCTATAAAGTCTTCGAGTAAATCAATGGAACTATCTTGATTGCCAATGATATTACTACTATCTTGATTACCAGTGATATTACTACTATCATCATCCTGTTCATGTACTCTGTTTATTTTCAAGCGTTTACTTGGATTATATTTGGGTTCGGTGCTCTGTTTTTGAATTGTTATTCGTTCATTTTCATTATAATTTCTCGATGTAAATTTTGGAATCGACCTAATTTTGGTTGAAGATTTATGGACAAATCTTTTTGGTTTACTGAACTGTATAGTATTAGCATATTCAGCTTCCCCTACTTCCTCTAAATCTGATAATATTTCGAATCTATTTTTGTCCAAATTACCTGATTTGCCCGCATAACAAACTGTGTTTTGTGTGAAAAACTGGAAAATCTCTATTCCAGTCATTACTAGCATACCCTGTTCTCACCACTCTAGCGTATTTATTTTGGTTTAAAGCGTTTTTTGCTTCATGGAAGGCTATATTTTGCCATGCCATCATTTCTTTTATTTGCTTATTTTTATAAATACCGGACACTCTTTGTTATTTGCAGGGTGGTTTCCTCTACATAATGCACATTCTACTTTTTGTTCATTACAATCAATTACATTATGTTGGCCGGAACATTTCATGCATCTTTGATCTCCTTTACACTGTTCCTTTATATGATTAAATCTACAGCATCTATAGCATTGCACAATTTTTTGAATGAATGGTCTGACCACACATTTAACTGAATGGATTGCCACTTTGCTAGGTAACACTGTACCTCTAAACGTTATTTTAACACATGTGATTTAACCTTCGTTACATCAGTATTTTTTGCTTTCATACGTAAGACTTCAAGGACAGGTATGTCAGATTCAATCGCGTCCAAAATATCTTCTTCTGATAATTCAGAATCCACATCAAATATTATACCTTGTCTGGTAAGCAAATATTTCGGGATATATGCTTTGAGATTTTTCTTTTCCAAAATTTTTTCGTCAAGTATATTATTTGCAGTATTAGCATTTTTAAATTGCAATTTCACTTTGTTTTTTCCCACAACTGAAACTTCTAACAAATCTGTTTTAAAGTGTGAACCTGAATTATGTATTATTTTCCCTAACGCCATAGGGTGTAGACGTCCTATACTTTTATCTATTGATTCGACATAAATTATGTATGGTCCCATGTCAAAATCTTCAAATCTATTTATATTATTCAGAATACTATATTTAGTTAATTTATTCACCTCATTATCTGCGACTGTGACTTCATTTTCATTAATATCATTAGCTGCTTTACTGTCATTTTTATTCGATTCAATATTTGTTTCCATTATTTCTTCATTTACACTCACTGCCTTTTTGTTTGTTTCAATGTTGGTTTGTTTTGATAACCTTTTTCTTTTTTACTTGCTTTAGTTATACTGCCATTAGCTTTCTTGACGCCTTTAACAATCTTTCTAATTTAAATCCACTTTTACAATTTAAACTTTCTTTCATTGATTTATTCTCATTAGCGATCTTTTTACTCAAATTCTCACTCACTATATCACAAACTTCCATATCTGCGTTTAATTTGTTTACATAAGTGTTCGTCGCTTCTAGTATCGTTGCACCGATATCAGAAACGCAGGTATCAGAATTCGGATCGGGCGGCCGGCCGCCCGAACCGTTAGTCACTGGGAACATCACAATAATATTAGTTATTTAATCGATGTGTACTCTTCGACTACAAACACAAAAACTGTTTAAAATATTTAAGGCTTGGTTTGACATTAAAA